GTCCCAGCTACTTGGGAGACTGAGGCAGGAGACCCGCTTGAGCCCAGGAGTTGGAGGTTGCTGTGAGCTGTGATGCCACAGCACTCTACCCATAGGGATAGCTTGAGGCTCTGTCTCAAAAAAACAAAACAAAACAAAACAAAAAAACAAATAGCATTGCCAAAGACTTGCAATAATCACCAACTTTCTTTAGATTTTAATTATATATATACTCTTAAGCTGTTCTTACCACCCTTCAGGATTCTAGGAATTCTCATTGGAGAAGGAAAGTAGAGAACAGAAAACTTTTAATTTCACTATTCAAAATTAATAGATGTAGCAGTAATTGAGATGAGAAATATGTGGGTAAAGATAGTTCTTATTTGTGCTTTCGAAAATAAGCATTTTTGTCCCCTTATGAGAGTTATGATAGGTAGAGAACTTTTTGTTTAACTGCATCAAAACTAAAAACTAGAGTATCTGAAAGGCAACATAAACGAAATGAAGATGTTTGAAATGCACATAACAAAGATTAATACTGAGTTGCACATTGCTTAACAACAAGGATATGTTCTGAGAAATGTGTTGTTATGTGAACGTTATAGAGATGCACAGTTAGGCTGTGTGGTGTAGCGTATTGTTTCTAGGGTACAAAACTGTAGGCAGTTGTGACACAATGGTAAGTATTTGTGTATCTACACATATATAAACACAGAAAGGATAAAGTAAAAATACAGCATAAAAGATATTATTTAAAAATGGTACCCTTGTACACGGTACACTTACCGTGAATGGAGCTTGCAGGACTGGAAGTTGCTCTGGGTGATCAGTGAGTTAAGTGGTAAGTGAATGTAAAGGCCTAAGACATGACTGTACACTATTATAGACTTTAGAAACACAATCCACTTAGGCTACACTAACTGTTTTTTTAATTATACAGAGGGTGGCCATAAAATTCATGTGCAATGTAAAATCACACACTATTTAAAATTGCACTGAACTTTATGGCTACCCTGTATTAAACCTTAGGCTACTATTAAGTTTACTTTATAAATGTCTTTTTTTTTTTTTTTTTTGAGACAGTCTTACTTTGTCTTCTTTCAGTAGAATACCCTGGCATCAGAGCTCACAGCAACCTCAAACTCTTGGGCTCAAGCGATTCTCTTGCCTCAGCCTCCCAAGTAGCTGGGTCTACAGGTGCCCACCACAATGCCCGGCTATTTTTAGAGACAGGTCTCGCTCTGGCTCAGGCTGGTCTCAAACCTGTGAGCTCAGGCACTCCACTCGCCTTAACCTCCCAAGTGCTAGGCTTACAGGCGTGAACCACTGTGCCCTCCAATAAATGTCTTAATTTTTTTTAACACTTTGACTCTTAATACAAACATGCTGCATAGTTGTACAAAAACTTTTTTTTCTTATTTCTTTTTTCTTTTTTGTTTTTTTTGGAGTGAGCATCTTACTTTCACCCTAGGCTGGAGCATATGACCATAGCTCACTGCAGCTTTGAACACCAGGGATCAAACGGTCCTTCTGCCTCAGCCTCTTAAGTAGCTTGGAATACAGGCACATAACACCATACCCACCCAACTTTTTTATTAATGTCTTTTAGAGATAGTATCTTGCCAAAGTGCCTATACTGATTTTGAACTCCTGGCCTCAGTCTTCCTGACTTGGTCTCCTGAAGTATTTGGATCATAGGTGTGAGCCACTATGCCCAGCCCTCAAATATTTTCTTTCTTTATATCTTTATCCTCTAAGTTTTTTCCTATTCTTTTTAAACTATTTTGTTAAAAACTAAGACTAAATATGTACTGCCAGTGATTCTAAAAGTAGTTTTTAAAGTTTAGTTTCTAAATTGGATGATAAATATGTAATTTAGTGGTTAAATTTTATGTGTGAATTTCATTCTTAGTTCAGTTTCTCGTGTGTTGTCAGAAGCTAATTTTATTTTAGCTGTGGAATTTTTACTCTGTCTTAGAAAAAAAAAAATTTTGTTTTTTGAGACAATCTCAAGCTGTCACTCTGGGTAGAGTGCCCTGGCATCATCATAGCTCACAGCAACCTCCAATTCTTGGGCTCAAGTGATCCTCCTGCCTCAGTTTTTTCTTTTTTTAGTAAAGATGAGGTCTTGCTGATTGCTTAGGCTGGTCTCAAACTCATGAACTCAAGCAGTCCACCTGCTTCAGTCTCCCAGAGTGCTAGGATTACAGGGGTGAGCCACTGCCCCCACCCAAAAATTAATAAGACTTATTAACAGACAGCAAAATTCTTCATTTATGGAACTGACGATTAATGAACAGTTTTTAATATACCGTGCTTCAATTTGATACACCTATAATTTGTGATAGTAGGAATACCAAATTAGTCTAATAGGAAAACCTGAAAGACTTATTTGAATATATGAATGTGAAATAAAGTTTATGTTTTTGAGATCGGCGTTTACCTCTTCCTTCAGAATAATGACCTGTTTTGAGATCACATATCTTCATCAGTACTGATGGATTTTTGTCTTAGTATCTCTATCAATTTCGTATCTTAAATTAGAGAAACTGGCCAAATAAGACCTTGGGAATTTAGTTTTATTCTTTCCCTGTGTGCTACCATAATCACATCTGCCTTATTCTAAACATGGTTAAAATTTTGTATTTTTAGAGCTAGTCCCTGGGTCCCCAAAGCAGGAGGTATAAACCCATATGCCTCAGGAGCCAGGTGAACATTGGCCGTGAAAGGGGTGTCCTCTAGTGGCAACTGTGGGAACTGGAAAGCACTGGCTTCATCTGATGGCACCAGCCAATTTTTAACAGTGCAGAAATGTATGCCAAGGGTTGTCAGGTTTCACTTTTGGAGAGGTGGAGAAGAGACTGAAAAATCATTTTATTTGTTTAGTTTCACTATATTTAAATGTTGACATTAAGAATTTTTTAAATATTTCTTAAAGAATTTTCAAAATACTATCAAAACATCTGCAGGATCTTAGTTTACAGTTTATTGGACCTGGAGTCTTGTAACAGATTTTTAAATTTTGAGTTTTTATAAAAAGTTTTTATGTGGTTAGTGAAGATAATACTTATTATCCACCATGTCCAGACAACTATTCTGAGTACCAGGAAGACAGAGACAGAAAAGATCAGACCATATTGTTATGTAAATACAAAGTAATCTCAGATGCTAGTTAGTGTAACAAGAAATTAAAACAGTATTGTGATAATGGCCCAGTGAGCCACTTTAGAACAGTGTTGGCATAAGCCCTTTTGGTGATTGGAGTTTTTGTTTCAGTTTGTTTCTTAGCACCATCCCCCACCTCTGGCAGCTGACCTTTGGAATATCAGTTAGGATTTGGAATATTGGATTTTGCCTTTGCTAATTGTGTTTTATTTAAATATTTAGGAAATTTAAACATATTTAATTTTTGGTTTTAAACTTCTTGTATTCTCTCTTTTCAAAGGGATTTTGCTGTAGGAATCTGTAACAAAATCAGTGAAATGATTCAAGGTATGTATGAATCATTTAGTTTTATGAGGTAACTTAATGGGATTTTTATTTATAATAGTTGCTAATTTTTGTTATGTACTTACTACCTGCTAGTCACTATACATTTAAATAATACTTATGAAATGACTTCTGTATACCAGAACCGTTCTCCATGTGTGAGATACAGGAGGGAACCAAAGTCCTCACCTCCCTCGTGTAACCTACATTCTGGTTGGGGATGGGGTGTAGGCAGTAGATAAATACAAACACGACCTATCCTGTGCTGTGGAGAAAAGGCAAGATGAGAAGGGTAGAGAGATGGCAGGATGGGAGAGGGGCTTTCCCATTCTATATATATTGATCAGAGAAGGCCTCTGATGAAGTGATACTTGAATGAGACATGAAAGAGAGAAAAAAGTAGTAACCCCAGTCCTGTGTTGCTTCCCAGTGAGGATCCTTTGGTGATTTAGTTGTGGTACTTACTCACACCTAGATGATGCAGCCTACTACGCATCTAGACTATGTGGCATATGGCCTGCTTCTCCTAGACTGCAAACCCGTACAGGTATTACTATACTGAGTACTGTAGGTAGTTGTAACACAGTAGCATTTCTGTATCTAAATATATCTAAATACAGAAAAGTAATATGTTGCAGTATGATGTTACAATGTCATTAGGTGGTGGGCATTTTTCAGCTTTCTTAGAATCTTATGAGCCCCTATCATATATGTGGCATCACTGACAAAAATGTCATTATGTGGACATGAGTGTAGTTAGGGGAAGAATGTACTGATTTTGAGGGGAGAAGGTTATTAGGAATTCTGGGGCTGTCCAACTAAGTCCCTCTGGTGTCTTTAAGTTGCAAGTGGAATCAAATCCAAAGTCCTTAGCATGCCCTACAAAGCCCTAGGTTTCTAGTCTCATCTTTTATACCACATGCTTCATGTTTATTAACCCCATTTATCCACATACCAATCATAAAAGGGAACTCAGAGGCAACATCATGGCACCACCCTAAAAACACTTTCTCTGTGTTCTACGTAGCTTTCCTTTGAATTGTTCAACTTGACAGCATTGGATAGATAATACTATTGTGTCCATTTTACGGAAAAGAAAAGGGAGCCATACAAAAGTGCAGTAATTTGTTCAAAAGTTATACAGCTGGCTTGGTATAGTAGCTCATTCCTATAGTCATAGCACTTTGGGAAGCCAAGGCAGGAGGATTGTGTGAGGCCAGGAGTTTGAGACTTAGGGAATATAGTGAGACCCCATCTCCATAAAAATTTTTTAATCTCTTCCTTTTTTTTTTTTTTTTGGCCGGGGCTGGGTTTGAACCTGCCACCTCTGGCATATGGCGCCGGTGCCCTACCCTTTTGAGCCACAGGCACCACCCCACCATAAAAATTTTTTAAAAATTTTCTGAGTGAAATGACACGAGCTGAGGCAGAATTGGTTGAGCCCAAGAATCCGAGGCTGAGATGACAGATTGAAACTCCATTTCAATAATGAATAAATGAATGAATGTATACCATGCAGCTAGTAAGGGGCAGTTTGGCTTTGACGCCCATGCTTTTAACCACTATGCTATCATGCCTTTCTAGGGCATGAATTTCTTAGGATAATTATATTTTATATGCATTTAGATGTCTTTCACTTTAAAATTAAAAAGAGCTTGCTCACTTGCATAAGTAACAAAAATCACTAAATTAAAGACTAAAGATATGGGTGGATGAGTTTGGCCTGTTTTCCTTTATTCTTTTGTCTTTTTTCCTCAACCACTATAAAGGGGCTTTCTTCAGAAAAGGCTACCTTTGTGACATTGGAAGGAACCATCACCCATATATTGAGCAGATTTTTCTTGAATGCCTGCTGTATCATACAAGATCTCAGCAGGAAACAGGTGGCACTTCTGAATTAGGATAATTCAAGGATACATGAAGGTGTGGGCAGGGTAAACTATAGGGAATAATGTAGTCTTTGAGCCTAGTAGTAGTTTTTACCACCCCATAAGGGGCCAGGGGAAGGAGTGGTTACCAGAAACTTAGAGTCAAGTCAAGAGGGCTCCTTGAAAAACTGACCTTTAGGAGCATGGTACCACCCTGAAGAGAAGGAAACAGAATAAATACCCTGGCCTCATTGTTCTCCTTCCACCTCCAGCTAGGGCTGTCCATGGGTAAACCAACATGGACAGCAAATAATAAGGGAGTTGATGTAAGCAATGCCCTGGAGTATTCTGTATAACTAAGTGTAGATTTTTTTCTTGTCTTTGAGACAAAGTCTCATTTTTTTGCCTGGTCTAGAGTGGAGTGGTATCATCATATCTTACCGCAACCTCAAATTCCTGGGCTCAAGCAATCCTCTTTCCTTAGCCTCCCAGGTAGCCAAGATCACAGATGCATGCCTGTAACCACCATGCTTGGCTAATTTTTCTATTTTTCTCTGTATTGCTTAGGCTGTTCTTAGACTCATAGCCTCAAACAATCCTCCTGCCTCAGCCTCCCAAAGTGTTAGGATTCCAGGCATGGGCCACTGTGCTGGCAGTCTGATATTGATAGTGGTATATACCTGTGTAGAAGCTTATTAATCTGTATACTTAAAAGTCATTACTTGTTCCTTAAATTTTATCTAAAAAAAAAAAAAGTACAAGATTAGAAATTAGGAGAAGAGAAATGGAAGAAAACACGGGAAGATAGAGCCTAAAATCGGGAAATAGCAAGAAGTTTTAAGAAAAGTATTCTGACATTAATTTTAACAGTGATGTTTCAAAGGAGGAGTTCAGAGATTGACCCCACAGTTGTTTTGTTTATTTGTTCATGTGGGACAATAGAACATACCAAAAACAAAACATCAGTGGAGTCAGTCACTTTGGGACATGACTTTAAGCTGCTTGTGTTTCTGCAAAATAAAATGTCTGAGTCTTTCTAAATCTTCCATAGAATTGTCTATAAACATAAAGAATCCCTCTGACTACTGGATTGAGAATAGACTTGCCGTAGAGGAAAGAGGGATGTAAGACAGGAGTCTGTCATGGGGAAAGGCCTGGGTGGGAGGCTCCTTAGGAGGCTTTCAATAATTCAGTCAAGAGATGGTGGTGTTTTGCAAACCAGCCTGGGGAAAGAGAAATAACCTGAGTGGGAATGGTGGGAAATGAGAAAGAAAGACAGAGACAAAAGATGGATCGGAAGGACTAGTGCAGGTGTTGACTGCAGCCAGCACTGAACTGTGGGAACAGTTTTATTCATATAATGTCTTTAACAAGGTAGATCTTAACCCCTGGGGTAAAAGATTAACTTTAAGGAGGAAAAAGCTGTGTGCTTGCTGATAATAAGGAAAGTATACCTGGGCTACATGACTTCTGGCAGGTGAAAAGAATGTTTGTTGTTAAAGGAGGAGAAGCAGCTGGTGGGTCGTTCCCTGAATGTCTCCCCAGGCTGTGGGGGCCCTGCCACCTGACAGCCCATTCCCCACAGTAGTGGGAATTGATCAGCATGATAACAATGGAAGTGGAAAGACATGGTCAGGTTTAGTTATATATGAAGACAGAACCAACAAGACTTGCTAATAACTTTGGAAATGGCATGTGAGAGAATCCTTTCACTCATGAATAAAGACTGATGGGAAGAAAGTCCTGTGAGGGGAAAAAAATAATAAAAATATTTTTAAATCCAAGTTAATACAGAAGATGTAAAAAATATATACATTTTTAAAGGACTCTGAGGTCTTCTAAGAAGCTGTAATGATGAAATTGTCATTTACTGAGTTGGGAAATTTTTGGAGGGACTGTTTCAGGGTGAAGATCAGGTATTCTCTGGGTGTCCTCTTTAATACAAAATGCTTCTGAGACATCTAGTGCAGATAACCAGAAGATAACAGGATACATTTATATCCATCTGAAGTTCCAAGGTAGGAGGGTGGAGTGTATGGCAGTCTTCAGCATTTAGCTAGTAATGGAATCCATGGTATTATGTCAGCCCACAAGGAAAAAAATGTAGGGTATTACCAACCCAAAGGAATACCAGAAATTAAAGTGTAGGTGAAAGAGGAGACTACACAGGAGATTAAGGGGGAATAACCAGTGAAAGAGGGCAGAAACCAGGAAACTAGCAAACCAGCAGAAGCCATTCATTGGGAGAGAGTTTCAAGGATGGAATGGTCAGCCAGGCCAAATGCTTTCAGAACTTCCATTATCAAAATAACAACAACAACATGAGCCTGATGTGACCCTACAGAGAGGAGAGCAGGGAATACTCTGACCTCATTCTCCTTTCCTTCTGTTGGTGGAACTCAACTGCTTTGGCCAAACCCGAATAGAGGTCAAAATAAAGGGAGTTTGTGGATTTAAGCTACCATTGGATAATGAAGTGCTGTCTTACATTCTTACTAAAAGTTATCTCACAGTACAAAACCCAGTGATCTGCGGAGGACTAATCAGCTTCTAACATGTATATCCTGCTTGGCGATTGAGAAATTTTTGTTCTCTATCACCACAAAGCTGTGCTGTAGAAGAAAAGATTTGTTAGTTTCTTTTTAGCTCCAGTATTGATAGAAAAAGATAGATTTAGGGCTTCATGGAGTTCCAGCTATATGTGCAGTAAAGAAAGACATTTACTACACAAAGTTTAAAGAACTTCAAAACTATTTTACTAATAGTCTTTTTACCTCCTGAGCCTGTTTTAGTTGTCTAAATAGTTGTTTAACTATTTAGAAATAGTTAAAATTATAAATATAATCAGATTGTAGCTGTCAAATGTGTTTATATGTATCTGCATATAATATTTTTTGATATTTCAGTATGAGAAGAAAATGAGTTTGCTTTCCACTGTGCTTCTTAAAGGCGTTTTTTTTAATGCTAGCATGTAGCTTTATAATCACTGAAAAGATAATATTAAGATAAATGCTTTTGAAAAAAATTGAATATATTGATTAGTTATAGTATAATTACCTTTAGTGTTATAAACATAATATTAGTATACTATTTCTCATTGGGCATTTTGCTAGTTGAATTAGACCTTTTAATCTGAAATATTATTGAGGATGATGATCAGAAATCTCTGAGAATTCTTTTTGTGTGTAGGTTTAGCTACACCAGTGGACTTGAAGCTGAAATTGATCCCCATTCTACAGCACATGCATCATGATGCCATCCTGGCTTCCAGTGCCCGTCAGCTTTTACAGCAGCTGGTCACATCCTATCCTTCCACCAAAATGGTGATTGTTTCCTTGCACACTTTCACTCTCCTTGCAGCTTCATCTTTGGTTGATACACCCAAGCAGGTAATTTAAATTTGTCTTTTCTTTTTTTTTTTTTTTGTGGGGGTGGGACTGAGTCTTGTTCTGTCACCGTGGCCCGAGTGCAGTGGTATCATCATAGCTCACTGCTTTCTCAAGCTTCTAGGGTCAAGTGATCCTCCCACCTTGGCCTCCCAAAGTGCTAGGATTACAGGAGTGAGCTACTGCACTTGGCCCTCTTTAAACTGCCTATTCTTCAGTAAACTTGCATGTTAAATACATAATGTAAAAAATAAGAAAGTAGCCCATAAGTTTTGATAACATTATGGTCCCTTTCTGTGATAAAGATTAATTTCCTTTCACTTGTTTTTTTTCTTCATGTTAACACTACTGATTCTTGGAAGCCTTTGAGGAAAATGAAGTATTAGGTGAAACCTGATTGGGTATGAAGTTGACAGTAAAAAAAAAAAGAAAAGGATTGGATATCTGTTAAATGCCAGGTCCTGTGCTAAAACTTAAAGTTAAATGGTAGTATTTTACACACAGAGAGAAAGGCCCAACGTGAGCATATTGAAATGAGTCCTGTCTCAAATCTGTAAATTTCACAAACTACACTAATGATGATTTCAGTTACAGCGTTTTTCATGGAGTGACTTATTTCCTTTATAGATTCAGCTTCTGTTGCAGTATTTGAAGAATGACCCTAGGAAAGCGGTAAAGAGACTTGCTATTCAAGATCTGAAATTACTTGCCAATAAAACACCACATACGTGGAGTAGGGAGAACATTCAAGTATGTAGAACGTTGAACATTGATATTTTACATAGAAAAATAATATAATAAATTGTTTTGCCTTATATTTTTATATTGTTTTTGTCATCTCATAAGTGTTTGAAGTTTGTGGCAGAAGTTATTTTGTAAGAGGCAAAACTAAACACATGAAACTATCTTTGACTGTTTAAGTTGTTGTAGTGAATGAGCCTGCCTCTCTGTTTCTTGTTAATTTTCCTATAGCAGCCCTAAGGCTAATTGAGAAATTTAATGCAATTGTTTATTTTATTTGTCTTCTTCAGTCAATTTAGGGAGAACAATTTAGGTGGTGACTGATTTGTAATGGAGATGGGCAACTTGGCAAAGTAGATTTCTCCTTCTCTTGGAAAGCAAAAGAATCCTTAACTTTCATAAACACAAAGGGACTGACTTTCTAGGCTTCTAGCATAATAGCTTTTATACCATTTCTTAGGTTAAATTAGTGTTTTACATTTATTCTTTCTTAAAACAGAACCATACTTGTTTATCCATAACCAATAACAGATACACTATTTTGTAAATAATGGTATGTAAAGTAAAATGGAAGATTGTTAGAATTTGTCCTTTATCTTTATGGGTTTTATTTTATTTCTTGGCATCATAATGGTTTCAGTATAGCAAACATCTTTGAATTTCAGACTGTGAAAATGAAGTTGCTATGTTTGTTTTTCTGTTTGCAGTTTTCTAAACATGTTTTAATATACTGTGTCATGAAGACTATACTTTCAGGGGTTATTTCTATAGTTGGTTACTAGATAAGCCTCGCTGAATGTGTAGAGCACCGGAAACCACGAGGAGGCAGCGCAGCGTTCTCTCCTGACGTGAAGCCGGCTCTTGGTGTTGCTTTAGTGCAACTGCCATTTGCCACTGATGATTATTCTTCCCTCCCTTTGGGGGATTAAGAGGGAGAGAACACAGAAGGGAAAAAAAAAAAAAATATATATATATATATATATATATATATTGTGTAATGATTTGATAGTTAAAGATATCCCAAGAGATGGAGAGTACTTATTAAATCTACATTTAATAGATAAGCAATTAGGATTCAGGGAGACTTAATATGCTTAACAGAGTTTCTTGAAAGAACTTAATGAATTCTTTAATTAAGAGAGCTTCTGTCCTAGTGCTTGTTCTCCTAAACAATACTTACTATCTTTCCAAGCAGAGCATGTGCTCAGCCACTTTAGTCATTTTGGAGAATTTGTGCCTAGAACCAAACCCAGTTATTTAGAAAGTTCACTTAGAAGCACAGTATTTCTCCTCATTTTTTCTTACTGTGAGATAGACCAGACAGGAAGAAATATAAAATATATAGCAGTTTAAATAATTTTATGTGAATACCCATCTAGCCACTATCCCACTAGAAATAGAACATTGCAACCCTAGGGACCTCCTTCCCATTCATAGTCCTTCTTGGTTAGAACTTTGCATTTACCCAAAGGAAACCACTATTTTGACTTTCACGATATTTATTTCTTTGCTCTTCTTAACAGTTTTGTCAAAAAAAAAGGTAGTTTTGCTCTGTGTATCTCCCTAAAGAGTATTGTTTAGTTTTGGTTTAGCTTGTTTTGTTGATCATTATTCTGGTTACACTCATCCAAGTAGTTGAATGTTTTTGCACTTTACTTGCTGTATAGTATTGCATTGTGTGGATGGACAACAATTTTTTGCTCTTGATGGGTTTTTTACAACATGGGGCTGTTACAAGCAATGAACGAACTTTTGACTTGCAGTATATATTTTTCACCTTTACTAGACAATGTCAAACTCCTTTCCAGAGTGAACCAATTTACATTGCTGTTATGCAGGAGAGTGTCCATTGATGAACGCGCTTGACAGTACATGGAATTATCAGACCTAAATTTTTGCCATTTTAGAAGTGCTAACTTTTACTTACAGTTCCTTGATTACTAAAAAAAATTGAACATCTTTCTAATATGTTTATTGACCATTTGGACTGCCTCTTTTATGACATGGCTATCCAAGTCTCTTGTCTATTTTTCTCTTGACTTGTAGTTTTTTAAATGTCTTCTGACTCCTCACACTTTGTTGGTCTTTGGCATTTCTATATAAATTTCAAAATCAGCTGATCAAGTCCACCAAAAAAAATTGACAGTTTGGGATTGCATTGAATATAAAGATCATTTTGTAGAAGATTGCTATCTTTACAGTGTTAAAGTCTTCTAATGCATGAACTTGTTAAATCTTTCTACTTCTTTAGCTCTGTTGCTTTAGTTGTATTTTGTTTGATATTAATATAGCTACGTTAGCTTTCTGCTGGATATATTTACATGGTAGGTTGCTGTCTTTTCACTTTAAATCTTTATATATCTTTATGATTCAGATATCTCTTGTAAACAGTATTTAATACAACCTGGTAGTCTTTGTCATTTTCAAATGGAACATTTGTTTTGTTTACATATCCTGTGATTTGTTACACATTTTAGTTTAAATCTGCTATCTTAGTCTATATTTTCTGTATGTTTCCCCTGTTCTTTATCCCTCTTTGGGAAAGGGGGACTATTTTCTACATTGGTTGTTTTTAGTGTCATTCCTTTTCCTTCGAATAGTCAGGAAATTTGCAGTGTTATATTCCTTTCAGTTGTTATCCTAGAAAGGAAAACAATCATAGTTATTCTTACCAAAGTCTTAAATTAATTCTCGCTACAAAGACCTTAGAAAACACATGAACTCCATTTACATCACACTAAACGTTTATATATTTTGTCATATATTTTAATTCTGGCTTTTTTTTTCTTTTTTTTTTTTTTTTGCGGTTTTGGCCGGGGCTGGGCTCAAACCCACCACCCCCAGTATATGGGGCCAGCGCCCTACTTCTTGAGCCACAGGCACCAGCCTTTAATTCTATATTTTAATCTTTTCCTTTGGAGTTATCATAATGGAGACCTAGAAAATTTAGACATGGTATGTTTCTGACATACTTCCAAACATACCATTTGTCTTTAAATATTATAAACTACTTTTTGCCATGCTTTTCTGGAACACATCCCTGGTGACCAGTCCCATTCCAGAGTAGAGAAGAATCCCATTTTTCGGGACTGACCCAGATAATAGTAATTTAGGCCAGGGGGTTCTGGTTAGCAGGGAGCTAAGCCAGCATAGAGAGAAAAGATCAGACCAAATACCAAAGGAAAGCAGTGGTAGTAAGTGAGAAAGGGGATTCCATTTGAAAAGATAGTTTTTCCTTTTTTTTTTTTTTAACACATTTTTGGTAGAGTACTGTGGCATCACGGCTCACAACCTCAAACTCTTAGGCTTAAGCGATTCCCTTGCCTTAGCCTCCCAAGTAGCTGAGACTATAGGTGCCCTCCACAATGCCCACCTATTTTTTAAGAAATGGAGTCTTGCTGTGACTCAGTCTGGTCTCAAACCTGTGAGCTCAGGCTATCCACATGCCTCGGCCTCCCAGATTGCTAGGATTACAAGTGTGAGCCACTGGACCTGACTTCAGTTGTTTTTTGTTTTTTTATTGTTTTGTTTTTCAGACAGAGTCTCACTATGTCACCTTGGATAGAGTGCTATGGCATCGCAGCTCACAGCAACCTCAAACTCTTGGGCTTAAGCTATTCTCTTGCCTCAGCCTCCCAAATAGCTGGGACTATAGTTGCCCGCCACAATGCCCGGCCTTTTTTATGTTACAGTTGTCATTGTTGTTTAGCTGGCCTGTGCTGGGTTCGACCCCGCCAGACTCAGTATACATGGCCGGTGCTGTAACCACTGTGCTATGGGCGGTGAGCCAGTTTTTCTTTTTTTTGATGTGAAAATTGCTCCTGGTAAGAATGATTTTGTAATAGGTAATGTCTTTAAAACAGAAACGTGATCCATATTTCATCATTGAAATAAGATTAATGTTCTATCTGTGGGGAACTTCGTGATTTGCTTTATTATGCTTATGGTTTGAATTAATGAACTTTTAAACATGTATTTACTAAGACCCAGTAATGTGCTCGGTGTCAGAAATCAGAAGATAACATTATTAATAATTTTATCATAAGGTTTTCTAGTTCAGTTTTTCAAATGATAAAATTCTTCTTTAAAATTACTTACATTATCATCTTCATAAAATGTCTCCCTTGCCTTTATGATTATCACAGAAGGCTAAATGTCTGTTATACTCAGAGCAAGGGACATAGACCTGTCTGGTTGAGGATATTAATCCTGAACACAAACTAATCAACAGTACAAGGCAGGACAATTTAGGCAATAAAAGTGGACAAATGGAAATAGCCTAAGCATTTGAATGAATAAATAAAAACTATAATATCAAATAAAAATCACTTTTTAAAAAATTCCTTCTTTTGAATGTCAAAAATAGCATCTGTATCTGATGTTATTTCCTCCCCTTCTCTTTTTTTTATATGCTTGCACTTAGAATCATTGCCCTGTCACTTACTTAGGTACTAAAAGGCTACCAGTGTTCCTCATGCTAAATCCAAAGGCTTTTTCTGCCTTCATCATCTTTGTGTGTGTGTATATTTATAAGTATATTTAAAATTATCTTCATATCGTAAGAAAAGTATAACAAAATAGAGCAAGATGGCGATAGGGGTGGAAGATATGGAAAAATATAATCACCAAACAGGCTACCTCAAACCTGGCTTCCTGCTGTAGAGGATAATGATTTGGCCCTTACCTCATGTGCCTTTGCTGATTCAAAGAAACTTGCCCCTAGCAGGACTAGGCCAGGACATCCTATTTTCCAGTCTTCTCTTCCTGGGAGCATGAGCAAGGTTATATAGTTCTCAGGCTATCAAGATGTAGAAGAAAGTAGGGAGAAGAAAGGAAGGATGTTATAGGTCCTTGTTCCAGTGCTTTCCCCAAGCCTGTGGAGCTGAACCTGGCCCCATGCCTTAGTATTTGTTGATGCAGTTGGGACAAATTAGGCATCAGTACTCTGAACAGTGAGGCTGTGTAGAAAGTAAGCAGGAGCATACTCGGTGTAGAAGCTGGCCAGGAGGAAGGGCACGATAGGAGAGATGCTGAGGAATGTGCTGAAAGAGGTAAACTGGAGCCTGTAGTCCGTCTGCTCCCAGTTGTCCGTTGCCAAGCCTTTCCTTGGTCACGGCTCTCAAAAGACGTTCCTTTCACTGTATGAAGGAAGACATACGTTGCCAAGTCATGGATGACCTTGGTCAGAGTCCAGACAGCAGGAATGCTAAAGAAGGGGTTGCTGAGGAGAAGGAACCACGTGCAGCAGTCTTCAGCCAGCCAGATACCCTGACGATTCATTACTCGAGTGTTGGGGTTTACTTCACTGTGCGCCACTCCCACTGTCATCCTGCCACCTCATAAAGCCGTCCAGCTGGGGGTGCAGTACTCACTTCCACATCTGTGGTCTCTAGGAAGTATTTAATACTTTCGACACCATCTACCTGCCCCTTCTCTTGGCCTCTTTGGCACTAATGTCCATCATTCTTTGCACTCTCTAAATGTGTCTTCTCTGTATTCTTCACTGCCCATTTTCTTCAGAGTTGAGTCCTTGACCCTCTGCTTTCTTCTGTTTATTCCCTGTCATTCTGATGGCCTCCCTTAATGCCAATATGTGGAACCTGCAACATTCTACTCCTTTTACTCAAGCTTCTGTATTACTTTTTAACGTAGCTATGGGTTACAGAGTGCTTTGACTTTTGGTGGCTATTTAATCTTACAAGACAATTGACATCACCCCACTTCTATTTTATTTTTAATTTTAATTCAGTTTTGTAAACGCAGATACATTCATGTGTATGAAATACTCCAAAGCTATGAAAGGATATATAGTGACTATTTCCCCCTTGCTATTCTTCTGTCCTCACAGTTCCTTTGCCCAGTGGCAACTGATGTCTAATTTCTTGCACACTTTTCTAGAGATATTTTATATGAAAATCAGCAATTCTTTATAAATATTTACCCCCATTTTACACACAAAGAAGTTGAGACTCAAAGATTTCAATAATTGGCTCAGATCACACAAATGGTAAGTGGCAGAGCCAGAATTCTGATGTGAGTCTTCAATTAAAAATCTGCTACTTTTAGTTTCCAAATGCCTGATAGATACTTGATGGATTTCACATTTCTTCCAGTTTTCTGTCCTTCTTCTGAAATTGGCCTATTCCCATAAATTTTCACTCTTCATAAGAGGAATCTGGTTGCTAGGTTTGAAATTTCTTAATAATCATTGAGTTCTTCTTCCCTCATATATAATCTTTCTAAATGTCTGTCATACTCATCCTCTGGTCACCATTCCTGCCCCCAAGTTCTACTTCAGGCCATTATCCCCACTTGCCTCGATCACTGCCATAGGATTTGGTTGTCCTCCTTAATACACAACTCTTTGTTACCTTGTTTTGTTTACCATTGCCAGAATAATCTTTGCTAACACTTTAGATGCCATTGTTGCTCTGCCTAGCCTTCAAGGGCCTAATCCTCTCTTTCTCTCTTAGCCTCCATCTCTTTTAAATGCACCTTCTTTCAGGCCACACCTAAACACCCCCATATCGTGGCCTCATTGCTAGAGTTCTTTCTGCGTTACTTAGACTGTCTTCCCTTCCATTACCAGAAACCTACTGTATTTTTCCATTCCTTCCGTGGGAATTTTGGATGCTTTTTAAATTGTTAACTAGATTTTTCTTTCAATTGAAAAAATAAGCAGGCACATGATAAAAAATCCCTAGAGTTCAAAGATGTACAGTGAGTAAAATGCAAGTCTTTTCTTTCATCTCTTCCCATAGGTCTCCTCTGCAGAGATGATCACTGTTACTAGTTTCTTATGCATTCTTCCTAAACCTTGTCATCAGTATGCTAGCATGCGTTTATCCCATCATTTTCCTGAACAAATGAAAAGTACAGTATGTTTTTATGGGCATTTCATTTCATTTTCATATAGTATGTTCTAAATTTTTTACCACTGAACAGTGCATCTTGGGGAACGTGTCATATTACCAGGCAGATCTACTGTATTCTTTTACCAGCTGTGTGGTGCTCCCTTGATATATTCCCAGTTCTCCACTGATGGGCAGTAGAGTTGTTCGTAATACTTTTACTGTTACTGTTGATATCGCTGTATTGAATAGTTTGTAAAAAATTACCTTTATGAACTTAAATTTCCAGATGAGGAATTTCTGGGTCTAATAATAGCTATTTTAAAAATTGACCACCAAGGAGCTTTACACCATCTTACCCTTCTATCAGTAATGTATGAAAATACCTATTTCCACACACTCTTTATTGTTATGTATTATCAGACTTGACCTTTGGCTAATCTGATAAGTTAAAAGTGACACTTATTTTAAATTTTGCAAATTACAAATGAGGTTAAACATCTTATTTAAAAGGCATTTATATAAGTTCTTTCTGTGGCCTACCACCTTTTCATTGGATTTTTGTCTATTTATTAGAGCTTCTTAATTATTAAGGTTATTGGACCTTAATATATAAGGTCCTTTACAATTTTACATGATGTCAATATTTTTTCTAGTTTTGTCAATTACCTTTTTACTTTTTTTATGTTAACTCTTAATACTTTTTAAAGATTTTTATGTAGTATGAAAAAAGAAATAGGGATCGTGTTTTATTTCACCCAGTTGACTTGCTAGTTGTCCTTTCAGTATTTATTGAATTAGCTCTCTGACTTTAAATGCCAGTTATCATATATTAAATTCTAATATATATTTGAATCTATTCCTAGTTAGAACTTTTTTGGGTTTTTTATTTTTCCATGTGCCCGTATCACTCCTTCCCAAATTTTGTTGCTGTCCTTTGTTTTCCCCTTAGACTTGAAGTTTTGCTCATTTTCTGAATCTTCGTGGGAAAATGGGAATTAGGTTAATTTAGTAAGAGAGTTATTTGACTGTTATTTACATGTGTCATATGATACAGAGTCACATGCACAGGATAAAGCAAGAGTCACTGTACTGTCAACATGTATTCATAGCTCACTGCACTGAAGGAAAAAATAGCATTTTGTTTCTGGTAACTTAGGAGTAGAGAAAATGAACAGAAATGGGAGGAGAATAGCTCTACTCATAGACTAGATAAAAATGCCACATTTTCTGTTATTTTAAAAAAAATACACATAAATAATATATCTCTTATGTAAGCAAAATATGGTGGAGGTTTTAGAATACTTTTACATTTGTAGGAAATTTGAGATGTTAGTACAGAGTGTTCCCACATACTACCTCACACGCAGTTTCTCCTATTACTGACATTTTACATTAGTATGGTAATTTTGTTATATATGAACCAGTATTGATACATTGTTATTATTAACCAAAGTTTATACTTAGGTTTCTTTAGTTTTTTACTCACTGTCCTCTTTTTGTACCAGCTTACCAATTTACCATTTAGTTACTATGTTTCCTTAGGCTTCATAAGGAGTTTGGCAGTTTAACTTATAATTTTTAACATGGAAAAAAGACCTGAAGATATAATTTTAATAAAAGCTAGAAAATCTAAATGTAGTAGACAGTTTAGATGTATATTGATGTTTTAACTTCTGTGTTCATTTCTCTTCTATATTTCAGGCACTCTGTGAATGTGCCCTCCAGATTCCTTATGACAGCTTAAAGCTAGGAATGTTGTCCGTCCTTTCCACACTGTCCGGGACCATTGCCATCAAACATTACTTCAGCGTAGCTCCAGGTGAGGAAAAGAAAGGAGATACTATATGGATAATGTGCTGATTCCTTTATGTTTGTGTTTGTTTCAAATATTTCTTCTGTAAGCTTTAAAATCAAGGAAGATTTCAAAATCTCATACTCCATTATTTGCTG